TCTTAGAGCTGGGTCTCATACCCTTTTCATACTTAACACTCTTAACGGTGAGTAGAAGGGTTAGTTGGGTGTTTGGTGTTTTATTAGGGGGGGGGGCGTTTGTCAGTATCCATTATTGACTCCAAAATAAAAATGGAAAAGCTTGTGGACAAGGAAACAATTATCTAATTTGATTCTTGATCCTGACTCTCCTGTCAATTAGATGGCTTTAAGTAAGACTCTTGTTTTGCCATCTGTAAGAGTGGTGGAATCATAAGTAGTCATGGTATAGTTTGATATCTAGCACATTTTAAAAGATGTAAAATAGACCATGTTACTCCAATTTGCTTAAAGTCTGTCATTGGCTTCCTTTTGCTGTTAGACTACAAACTCCTTTCCAAGGCCCACTCTCCCAACCTGTGCTGGATTCTGTTGGCCGGTGCTTCCTCCCCCAAAGGCTCTTGCTGCACTGAGATTCATCTTTGAAGTCGATTCACACCTCAGAGCCTTTGCTCCTGTTCCCTCTTCTTGCACCACCCTGCTCTTAACTCTTCCCGTTAAAAGGCTCCTTCACACCATTCAGGACTCAGCTCAAATGTCACTGACTCCCTAAAGTAAAATAACTCCCATCTCTGCTCATTTGTATTATATTACTGTTTTATTCCTTCAGAGCACATATCACTCTCTGAAATGCTTTGTTTTCCTTGTATATATCATCTGCCTCTGCCACTGGAATATAAGCTTTAGGAAGTCAGGAGCCATGGCTGCATGTTTATCACTGTATCCCCACAACCGCATGTGTCTGGCACATAGTGGGTACTCAGTAAACATTGAGTTAATGAATGCATGGGTCCTTGGGAGGGAAGAATAAGGCCTATAGGGTAGCAGTACTACAATGAGCCCCTGCCCTGGTATCTCTTTTATGATGTCAGCTCCCTTTGGAGTCAGAGGGGACGGGATTGCCACAGGGAATAGAAGGACAGAGCAGTCTAGCCAAGTGCACAGTCTGCTTTAAAGGTGTGTAGCATACTTATTGAGGAAGGGCAGTTGTAGGATAGGGGCAGGGGCAGATGGTATATGGGAAATCTTGTCAAAAGACTTGTAATTCATATCAAAGTAACAAAAGAAAATTTGCTTCTTTTGCTTTTTCTATAGGAAGGGAACAGAATTGTTTAGTTCTCTTTGTCACAACTGGCTACGCTCTTTTAAGAATCCACAACATAGAGATTGAACAGCCTATTTAGTGATTAAAAGCATAAGCTCTGACTCCAGATAGTCTGGCTTGAATCCTGGCCTTGCCCATTATTGGCATTGTGACCTTGGACAAGTTACCCAATCTCTTTTTGCATCAGGCTCCTCCTTTGTAAAATGGGGATAATAGTAGTATATACCTTATGGAATTGTGATGATTGTGAGAATTAATATATGTAAAGCACCAGTGGAGTGTCTGACACACAGTAAGTGCAAAGCAAATTAGGTCTTAATATTATTATTATTACTATAATAAACAAGACATAGTCCCTGGCCTCCAGGAATTCCGAGACTCTGGGAAGAAGACATGTAATGCAGTAACTGTGAAAAAGCAATAGCTGGCCATGATAGAAGCAGGGGAAAGGATGCTCCAGGAAGCCTTGACAGTAAATAGGTGTCTACTTGGTGGGGTGGGATGGCTAGCAGAAAAGAGGCATTCTAAGTGAAAGGCTCAGCTAGGACAATCAGAGGCATGACACAACAGGGTGCCTTAGAGCAGTAGCTGCCAAACCTCTGTCAGAATCCACATCACAATTTTTGCTATTACTTACCTATATTTTAAACCAGTTTTAGAATTTTCATAATATATTTATTTAAAGGAAGCTCCATATCACAACAAAATCTAATTCACTCTAAACCATGTATTTGATGGGCTATTCTAATAGACATTAAAGTAATCACAACTAATAAAACATTTGTATTGTACGTCTGAAATCACCTCCCCAACCGATCTTTGGGACAACTTGTATAAGGGGAAACTTCTCCCAAGTATGAACAGAGGTCAACACAGTAGGAGCAACATCTCAGCTTTTTCTAAATGGCACAGGCCTGCAATAGTAGGTGCTGGGAAATGAATTTCACCCCAGCACAAGTAAAAACCTGTGTTTATATACATGGGGTGTGATTTTTTAAAAAAGAGACCAGCTTCCAGTCACATTTCCTTCCAGGCACACCCCATATTTTCTCTTTCTTCATTCTGGGATTTGGGAGTTAGGAGGATGAAAAGGAGTAAAGAGTTTCAAGAAATGTTAATTCCAGAATAAACGCTATAAAACTTTATGAAAATTCCATAAGAATAGACTTTGTGGCCAGTTGAGACTGCAGTTCAGTTGTGGTCCTCAAACATTGAATATTTCTGATGTTGCCATGGGAAAATCCCAGCAGACCGCATGGTATCAGATCAACGCCCCCCATACTAGTGAAGAAGGGAAAGGCTGCCTTAGTCTACTGTTAATTGTAAGAGATAATAGATAGCTTTAGAAGAATAAATGTATGGTTCAAGCCATTAAATCCATAAGGAAGAAAGCTCTGGGAAAAGGCAATTTTTCTAAATGAGTTGCTTTCTAGGAGCAAAGATGAAAATATAAACCAAACAGCAATATAAGACAAAGAGCTTTTAAAGTTTTTTTTGTATATATGGCTGATTCTGTTTCTAGAATCACAAACTCTAGCACAAGATCATTTTTCATTTATTCAGCAAACATTTATTGAATACTGATTATACACTTGTCTAGGTGCTGAGAGTTATGCAGCAAGTAAGGTAAATGTGGTTACTGTCCCCATAAAGGTTAGAGTGTATGGGGGAAGACAGGCATTAACAAACCATTGCTCGAGTGATGAGTGCTACAAAGAAGAAATATCAGGAAACGGGAAGATTGATCAGAATCACCTGACCCAATGTGTGTGGTTGAGGGAAGGAGGAGGATATCCTGAGCAACTCTGTTTTCACTGGGAACCGAAGGATTAGTAGGGGTTGGTCAGGTAAAAGGGAGGGGATCGGGAGAACATTCTAGAAAGAGGGAACAGTGCAGGTATGTGCCCTTAAGGGGCACAAAGAACTGAAAGAAATGTAGTAAGAAAAGAACAAAAGAAGCATTTTTCTTTCCTATTTTTTTTTTCATTTTTTTGTTTTGTTTTGTTGGCTGGCCGATACAGGGATCTGAACCCTTGATCTATGGTGTTATCAACACCATGCTCTAACCAACTGAGCTAACCGGCCAGCCCCAAAGAGAAGCATTTTTCTTTTCTTGCTTTTTCTCTCAAGAGTTGGAAGGAGGTGATAGCTAGTAAATTGCACATGTTAAAGTTATACTTCAGCTAGACTTGTTAATAGTATACAATGGTGAATACAGCTTTAGACCCTTCTCTGGGGCAATCTTCTAGGTCACCTGAAGTTGGAGAGGGAAACATCACTTAAATCCCTTTCAGGTTTAGTTTTCAAAACACTTAAACATTAATTAAAGTGTTTTGAAAATAGTCCTTTTAAGTACCAATTGTTTGTACTGCTTGTTATCTTGAGTAACCTAATTGCAGGGCTTGCATATCAGATTATGGTTTATGATCAGTTAGAGTTCGAAGCAGTGGTTCTTAGAAGGAAGCTAATTAAAATCAGAGTTTGGAGAAGGTTGCTGCTGTCTGAATATGCCTGACCGTCTTCGGTTTTCTCAAGTGTCTCACTGTCAAGGAAGTTTGGTCTGTTAATGACAGGGAAGTGAGGCAATTATTAATAGTTGTTAGTTCCAGACTCCCTGCCCCTCAAAGGAACTGACTCACATATTTTCATATGAAACCATGGGCTTTTAGGGAGAGCCAGAAACTCAGAAACCTGTTTTCTTACCAGGAAAAATGTCATCATCTCATCTGGGTTTTTATTACTATTAGCCACAAAGCATGATGTTCTCTCTTGTTTTTTATGGATTCGTTTTAAGCATTTTTTCTGTGAAGCATTATGGACTTCTGAATTGGTGTTGAATAAAACTTTGGTCCTTTAACCTTTGACCTAGGTGAAGTAGTGCTTTCAAGCTTTTCATCAAATGGTTCATTCCTCGTTTCTCAAGAAATGTCACCAAAGTTAGGGTAAGCAGGAGGGGCAATCATTTTTGAAAGAGAAATTCTCTGTAAGGTGGATTCCTTGCAGGTACTTAGAATTCCTAGATAAACACCCCTCCTTCCAGCTCCCATCTGCATTCTTTAGTGGTTCTATTCCTTAAGTTCAGGACCACCCAAAGTATATCATCTCCAGGTCTCATGCCTTTCCCTTGGGTTTGGAAATGGATCATGTTCCCAAAGGGCAGTGAGCAGCCAGCCTACTTCCCGATCCTAGCGAGCCTGTTTGAGGAAAACCCAGGACTCATAATGAGGTGTCCAAGTGCCTGGCCCTTCTCCTTACTCACCAAATCTGTCCTCGTCTTCCCTGCCTGTCTTATTTAAGGCAGTACAATATTCATTATTTCTAAATCTTACTAATCACAATCCTCCAGTAGTGGGACTTTTTTTTTTTTTTTCTATTTTCCTGAACTACTTTTACTTTATTTTATTTATTGTATTGTATTATATTTTAGTTTACTGGCTGGTATAGGGATTGAGCCCCAGACCTTGGTGTTACCAGCACTATGCTGTAGCCAACTGAGCTAATCAGCTAGCTCCTGAATTTCTTTTGGATATAGAAAGGTAAATAGTAAAGAAATAGGCTGAAATTTCTACATTTTTTTTTAAAGGAATTTTTTTTTTTTTTGCTTATACTGTTAATGCCCATCAACAGAATAGACAAGCATATTGGGATATCTTTATTCAGTGGACTGAAGTGCAGCAGTGAGAATGTATGATCTAGAGGTATGTGTGACAGCGTGAATGAATCTTAGAAATATGATGGGCAAAAAAAGCGAGTTGCAGAATTTTAATATATATTAAGTTTCTAAACTTGCAAAGTAATACTATATAAAGTGTAGAGATATGCATGACAATGATAAATTCAGGATAGTGGATCCTTCTAGGAGAGAGAAAGAAGAATGTGATTTGGAAGGGGTACAATGGGGGTTTCAACTATATACATAATTTATTCTATAAGGTCTGTTGTGAATATTTAGCTATTATTCTCTATATATTTTTTGTATCTGAAATACTTCATAATAAATATAACTTAAAGAGGTCAGGAATTTTATTTTTAAAAATACAGTTAGCTGTAGGGAATATACTAAGGTCAGTTGTCATTTAGCCAAGTCCTCTGAAATTAAAACTGATATTTCACAGTAAAAACCCAGAGGGGCCACAGAGCTTCAGTCATCAGAAAGATTTTTAATTGTACTTATCGTATAGTTCTTATTGGACAAGACAGTAGACCAACAATTTTGAGAAATATTTTCAAAAAGTTTATGGTGAACCAAAAAAAGAGGTTGCAACCTGATAGCGGCATCTGGGTGGTACTGAGCCTAGAGACTCATCTTGTTTGGCCTGCAGGGTACTCACATTTTCAAAAATAATGACAGCGTCTTTTTGAGATTTCATATGTTAAAAATCTGTACTGCCACCTATTCTTAAGCTATCAGGAAATCTGGTATCCCGAAGCCCTCATTTCTATATGGCAGCAGCTGGCTATAGCTGAGTAGCAGGTGTTCCTGTTCAAGGGGGCAGGTCCTGTCCAGTTGGCCACTGTCCCCATCCAGCCAGGTTCCCTCATTTATGTTACCTGCCAGGCCCTAGAGGCACTTGAGTTTGCAACCTGTGCATTATATTCCAGTTCTTACTTAAGTAGATATTTTCAGTTCTCAAAGATGTACCTTCTCTTGGGCACTCAGGTTAGTGAGATCATTTTACCAGAATACACACTAAAAGCATCATTTGTAAGGTATTCTGGTAAGATAGATTTAAAGAATAGTAAATGTGAATTTTGGTTTGCCACATTTGTAACAGTGGTCTCCATGGCAAACAACATGGCTGAGTAACCCTCAACTGTGCAGCGATGCACAAAGCTAGCTGAGAGCAAGCTGGTGTTCCTACTATGCTGTTCCAGCAATGCTCCCCAGCAGAGCTGTTGAGAAAGAGCAGTTATTTCTAAATTAATTAAAAATTTTGATTTAAAAAAAAAAATGTATGTCTGCCATCTGCCTAGCTGCCTACGGTCAAGTTGAATTTTTATGCAAATTGCCTCTCTTCTGTTTTGGTGAGTTTGAGATGACAACAGCAACACGACAAGAAGTTCTTGGCCTCTACCGCAGCATTTTCAGACTTGCGAGGAAATGGCAGGCGGCATCAGGGCAGACCGAAGACACCATCACAGAAAAACAGTACATACTAAATGAAGCTAGAACGCTGTTTCAGAAAAACAAAAATGTAAGTAGGCCCCCTTTGCAAGGAGGAGAATAGTTTCTTGTGGTGCTTGTTCATTTCTTTTACATCCTAAAATCAGAGGACTGAGCAGCACAAGTCACAGTGGCAGAGTGTGGGGGAGGAAGGGGCCAGGGCACAGCTTGGCTAGCTTGCCCAACTGTGGAAAGTCTAGCCCAGCCTGTGTGTCTCTCTTCACTTGTTCCAGGTCTGAGTCCAGCCAATAAGTGGCTCAGTGTCCTCAGAAGACTCCATGAGCCAGGTGACATGAGTCAGGCCAATGAGACTTCTCAGAGGAGGAGCTGTCCCTCACATGCTGGGCCCACTGCTGGCCACTCCCATAGGAGGTGCACAGTGAAATGTTTTCTTCAGTTCAAAACCTATTCAAAGCCTCCAAATATAAAGCCATTCAGTGGGAAGAGAATAGGATCAAGACACAGGGTTCCCTTCATAACTTAGCTTTGAACTCCACTCTCTTTGGCTAACAGAGTAAGGTTGCTCTTTGGGCTACAGAATTGGGTAAAAGAGTGCTTCCATTAGCTAGTTTAACAGAACTGCACACCCAGACACCATGAAGCCAGATTTGGCCCATCTTGACAAACCATAAAGCATTAGCTGTTAGCTGCTTAGAGGACCTCCTGGCACTAAGCATGGACAGAGGCTTTCAGCCCATGACTTTTCTTTGGTCTCTTCTCATTGATCTTCTGGATTTAGTGCTGTCGCTGTTCCCCTCATGAAACTTCCCAACAATATACCCTTACTACTTTTCCCTCTCTGACCTCCGACTCTGTCTCTTTTTGGCTCTGTCTTCTCCAATATCCTCCTGCCATCCATAGGGGACCTTTGAAGCTTAGCCCTCTGCACTGAGGCCCATGCGACATGCAACCAACTTATGGTTTCAGCTCTCATATCTGAATATCCAGCCTTGGCCTCTGACAAGCCACTTGGAAGACCTCTCCACAGCATAATTGTCCAAAGCAGAACTCATTTGTCTACAAGAGCATTCCCCTTCCCAGCTTTCCCATTTCTGTCCTAGCTTCTATCACCATTCTGCATCTCTTTGTTCTCATTCCTCATTCAACAAGTATTCGAGTGCCCACCATGTGCCAAACACTGGACTAGATGTCGTAGATAAAAAAGTGAACAGAACCAAGAGGGGATCCCTCAAAGATGTTCAGAGTTAGGTGGAAAGAAGTGTAAAATCACAATTGAGAGAGGTGCTACCAAAAAGTCCTCCTAATTTACGGTACCTGCCCCTTCTTGGGATCTCTGCAACCTTCCTGCTTTTTAAGACCAACTTGCTCGTGAAGTATCTTTCTACCTTCCTACCCTCCTCCAGCTTCTCCAAACTTTTTCTGCTCTTAGCGTAGACCGTAGTTGCCACACTAGAGTGTATGTGCCCCATGAGGTCCTTAAACAGCCCTCTGGGGAATGGACATAAAATACCACAACTGCAGTTTCTACTTTTTATCTCATTCTTTAAAGTGTCTGTTTTATATACATTTATAATGAATTTATTAGCACATGTATATAGTTTATAAGTTAATGCATTTATAGATCAATATCAAGATATATGGGAGCTGTGGGCTCAGAGATTTTTTATTGAGAGAAGTAGGTAATCCAAAAGTGTGTAGACCCCTAAGTAGTTGTTCATATTCTCTTCTTTGTTTCATTTATGTTGGCATGGTCTTCCCAACTGGATTGTCAGTTCCTTAAGCACAAAGACCATGTCTTACACTTTTCTATTATATCCCATGGGACCTGCCTTGTAGTTGTCACTAAATTAATGAACATTTACAAATACTTTGATTCAATTGGGCTTCTCCAGGAAGTCTTTCTCAGTTTCTCTGCTCCTCTCAGCCCCATGATGGCCATCTATTCTGAATTACTATAGCTGTCTGTAGCAGTCACTGCCCTCATTGATTATATACCACTGTGCCTTTTCTGTAGCTTCATTTATCAGAGTTGTTCTGCCCAGGTAGTAGCTTTAATAGGTGAAGACAGGGACCATGGCCCCACAGTGTCCAGCCTGGAGCTGTGGATATCATAGTACGTGCCCAATAAACCTTTGCAAGCATACCCTCATGAGGACTACTCAAGACTCTGAATTTTTGGTTGTTGCAATAATCCTTCCTTTGCCTTTGCTTGGATTGGCCTGAGGGGTGAACTAGAGGGAAGTATATATGCCACTGATGGTACATGAGAGTCGTTGGGGGTGGGGAGAAGGAAGTACACAGGTTTTTAATTTTAAGATATGTAGTTATTTTAGCATGTATTAGAAAACAGAATATCAGACCATAATTTCACTAATACTATTGCTTAGGAGAGAGCCTGTTTAAAGAAAAATTGTAATATTAGTATAGGTCATGTGTGGATATGGCACAATCATGTAGGTAGCCCATGAATGACTGAATTTGGAGCACTCTAGCCGAAGCTTGTTTAGATGGACAGCTGGAGCCCGAGAAGCTCTAGGCCCCTTAACCATATCTTTGTCAGAGGCTTTTCCTTTCTGCCCAGTCTTTCAGGCAGATGTAAGCAGTTTCTTTTAACTTCAATTACTCTAAACAGCTTAATAATCCAAAGGTATCTCATGAATTACTCTGAACCCCAGTGGGCAAATAGGAACATGGAAATCTACTCCCAATGTGGAGAGCAGAGCAGTAGCTTCTGAGAAGCACACAGGTCAGAAATTTGAGCCTCTGCCCCAAGGGACTCAGCTGAGGTTCTCTGCATTGCTGTTCTTGGAACTCTTCCCCTCTGCTGCAAGAGGTACCAAAGGACAGTAACATCCTTGGAATTTCCAACCCACATGGGCCCAGACTTTGCTGTGCATGTCATCTGGGGCTGATGCAATCCTAGTTCTGCTTTGAGGCCTACTTGCAAACTTGTAGCAGATCTGCAGTGTTGATTCATTTTCCATCCTCACAAGGAAAGAATTTCTTCCCTTCTACTTGGCTTTCTGTTTTTCAGAATGAGCTTTTCATTCCTTTATTTGAAAATGGACTACCACAATTTGATTATTTTGGAATTTCAAAAGCCTTTTGTTCCCTTACTAGTGAGCATAGCAGTTTTCAGTTTAGAATAAGAAGTAAAAGAAAATAAATAAAATAGTTAGATCATTCCCCAATATCTTAGTTGGGGGGTTTCTGGACAGTGCTTGCTGAAGAAATTGGGTTACGTTAAAGTTTAGTGAATATGGGGAGAGTGGGAAGAAGCACTCTCATTTAGTGTTGGTGGGAATATAATTTGTAAATTGTTGGTGGGAATATAAATTGGTGTAAACTCTAGAGGGTAACTTGGGAATATCTGTGATAATTAAAAATGCATGAATATATACCCTTTTTCCTAGCAGATCTCTCTCTAGGAATTCATCTTTTAGATTTATATGCATGTGGGACCAAAAAAAATTTCAGAGTGATCCATAGCAGATTTATAATGGTGAAAGATTGGAAATAACCTCAATGTCCATCAGTAGCAGATTGGTTAAATTATAATAAAGCCTTATGTTGGAATTTTGGATAGCTGTTTAAAAGAATATAGAGGGAACATGTGAATATAGAAGGAGCTTTGAGTTATCTTAGTGAAAAAGCAAGGTTCAGAACAAAGCGAGCTATTGCTTGTGTAAGAAAAAAAACTCTCTATATACATGTGTGCTTATATGTGCATAGAATGTCCTTGGAAGGACACATACAAAACTGTTAGTTGTTGTCTCTGAGAAGGAGAACCAGGAAACAAGGGTAAGAGGGAGACTTAGGTTTTACATTATATACTTTTGTATTGTTTGAATTATTTTTACTATGTGTATATGTTGCCTATTTCAACAAGTAAAAGTTAATCCACAGTAAATTTTAATATTAAATTACCTTTGATTTTTAAAATATCAATATTTAATTTACTGACTAATAAACTGAAAAAGTTTAAGAAAATGTACAGTACTTATACTTTACGTACCATTAGAAAGATGCTAACAGTCTTACTTCTTTTCCCCTTTTAATAGCTCACAGACCCAGACCTGATTAAACAGTGTATAGATGAATGCACAGCCAGGATTGAAATTGGACTGCATTACAGGATTCCTTATCCAAGGCCAGTAAGTGTGGCTCCAGTTAACAGGTGATGGGTACTTACCTCGTCAACCTGATTATTTCCAAGAATGTGTACGAGGAGGGCTAGTGTTTGCTGAGAAGCCTAGGCTACACTGTAGGAGGTGTGTTGGAATAAACTATCCTTGAATGCTGCCAGCCTATCACAACAAACTAAAATGTCAGTGAGTGCCCAATTTCTCCTACCTGTACAGCTTTTCCACTTATGGAAGGGAAAGCCAGCTCACATTTAATAGCTTTCTCTTTTGACTTTCACCTTTTTTTTTTTTTTTTTTTTTTTGTCTTTTTCCGTGTCCGGCAACGGATCGCAACCCTCGGCGTTGCTCCCGCGCCTCGCTCAGCCAGTGAGCGGGAACCGGTCTGTATGTGGGATCTGAACCCTCGGGCGGGAGCGCCGCCGCGCTTCCCAAGCGGCGCACTATCCAGTGCGCCACCGGGCCGGCCCGACTTTCACCTTTTTTTTTTTTTTTGTCTTTTTCCGTGTCCGGCAACGGATCGCAACCCTCGGCGTTGCTCCCGCGCCTCGCTCAGCCAGTGAGCGGGAACCGGTCTGTATGTGGGATCTGAACCCTCGGGCGGGAGCGCCGCCGCGCTTCCCAAGCGGCGCACTATCCAGTGCGCCACCGGGCCGGCCCGACTTTCACCTTTTTTATGGAAATGTTTTTATTTTCCTTATTATAAAAGACAGGTTTGTTGTTACTAAAAGAATAAAAGAAAAAAAAATAAAAATAAAAATAAAAAATAAAAGAATAAAGTCCAGGGCCGGCCCGGTGGCGCACTGGGTAGTGCGCCGCTTGGGAAGCGCGGCGGCGCTCCCGCCCGAGGGTTCGGATCCCACATACAGACCGGTTCCCGCTCACTGGCTGAGCGAGGCGCGGGAGCAACACCGAGGGTTGCGATCCCGTTGCCGGTCCCCGGTCCAGTACGGGGGCAACATGCTCTCCCAAGTGAGCCATGGGGCTGGGCCTGGGGACAAAAGACAAAATAAATAAATAAATAAATAAATAAAAATAAAGTCCAAACATTAAAGGAATGCATAAAGTAGAAAGTGAAATTGTCAAAAAATTTTCACCCTGTGGAAGTGACCATTGTAAATGTTTAGTTGGACCATACGAAATTGCTATTATTCAAGTCTTTGACCTACAAAAACAGAAACTTTATATTGTATTGGCTCAACCTAATAGTTTGGTAACATATCCTTTTTGTCGTTTTTTTGTACTCAACATACAGACATTTTCTTTACATATATGGGATTCTGGGCATACTGGTTTTGTTTTTTTTAAATTTTTTTGTAAAGATGACTGGTAAGGGGATCTTAACCCTTGACTTGGTGTTGTCAGCAGCATGCTCTCCCAAGTGAGCCATGGGGCTGGGCCTGGGCATACTGTTTTATTGCCTACTTATTTTACTTCAACTCTTCTGGACATCTTTGTGTATAGCTCTACCTCAGTCTTTTTTTTTTTCTTCTTCTTCTTCTTTTTGGTGGCTGTCTGGTAAGGGGATCTGAGCCCTTAACCTTGGGGTTATCAGCACTACGCTCTTCCAAATGAGCCACTGGCCTTCCCTACCTCAGTCTTTTTAAATGGTTGCATTTATGCTCTTGTAAGAACGTACCATTGTATGAGTCAGGTTCTTCAGAGAAACAGAACCACTGTGATGGAGATATTTATCTAGATATATATGAACAGAGATTTATAATATGAGGTGCTGGCTCAAACAGTTTTGGAGCCTGAGAAGTTCCATGACCTTCTGTCTGCAAGCTGGAGACCCAGGAGAAAGCCAGTGGTGTAATTTAGTCTGAGTCCGAAGGCCTGAGGACCAAGTGGGCCAGTGGTGGAAATCCCAGTCCAAGGACTGGAGATGAGATGTTCCAGCTTAAACAGGCAAGCAGGAAGCAAAAGGGGCAAATTCTTCCTTCCTCTGCCTTTTTATTCTGTTCAGGCCCTCAACAGATTGGATGATGCCCACCTACTTGGGAAGGTGATCTTCTTTACCAAGTTTACTGATTCAAATGCTAATCTCATCCAGACACACCCAGAAATAATATTTAATCTGGGCACATAAAATTAACTATCACAGCCATAATTTAACCAGCTCTCTGTGAGTAGGCATTTAGGATGGTCTCACTTTTCCACTATGCACTGAACATCTCTGTTAACTCACACTTTTTTCCTCCCCCTTCTTTGGAGTCCCATCTTGCAGTATGATCTGTGGTCATTTTTTCCCTCCATCAGGCAATATGGCAAAGAAGAGCACAAGCTCTGGAATCAGATAGATCTGGGCTCAAATCCTTGTTCTCCCACTCAATGTATAATCTTAAGTTACTTCTCTGAGCCTCCGTTTTCTCATCTGTAAATATTGAAGTAATAATTCCTTATGAAATTATTGTAAGGATTAATGTGTACAAAGATTATAAAGATTAATGAGTCAATGTTAGCACTTAGCAGACAGCATGGTTTAGTAAATCCTCAATGAATATAAGCTGCTGCAATGATTATGAATATGATTCTTAATATCATTATTCTTCTTATTCAGATTCATCTGCCTCCAATGGGCCTCACCCCACTACGAGGCCGGGGACTTCGAAGCCAGGAGAAACTGAGAAAACTTTCCAAACCAGTATATCTCAAGTCTCATGATGAAATTTCCTAATTCAGAAGAAATTTAATTTCTGAGAATGATGAGCCAACTACATCTTGAATGTAAACCAAATAACAAAACTCTTCTCTTTGATTAGGGGTAAATATTCAAATATCTTCTTAAGACTGCCAAAATTGGTCCTCACCCCATGATGTGTGCTTACACATCACTAGAGTTTGTCAAGGTCTTGCTGCCTGAGTAGATGACATTAACTCTACAGGTCATGAACCTTACATCCTCACTGAAGTCACCTTTGGAGACAAGCCTAAGGCGTATGGGAGGAAGGCTGAAGGGTGACAAAGCTTTTCATGGGAATGGCATTTGCCACACATGCCAGCTAATGCCAAGAAATTAGCCAGTTGCTAGAAGTTCTTGTGGCTACTATAAAGCTATATAACACCCTCAGAACACATTTATGACTTTTTTTTTCAAGTTATTGCTTAATAGTGGGTGTTTTTTGTGTGTGCTTTTCTGGTTGTCTTTTGACCCTTCCTCTTTCCAGATAAACTCCCCTTAAAAAGCACATCACTGGACTGATCATGGTTTTTCATGGAAATTTTATGTGTGACCCATTCCTGTCTTAAGGTTAAATGCATGTTTACCTTATCTCAAAGCCTACAATCACTTAGGATCTGAAAAGCTCACTTGAAACTCATACTGAATTCATTATGAGTATCTTACCTTAACATAATAGAAAACTACCAGGTCCAAGCTGGCTTTCAAATTACATCTAAACAGAAATGAGACAAATAGAGATGAAAACACAAAGGATTTATACCTCTGCCTGTGTGCAGAATGGTGAGAACCTTGTGGCAAGTATTTGTATATCAGTGTCATTCCCTCTTACTTCTAAAGAGGATGTGCATCACCAATAAAGATAAATATCAATTTTGACCTCTCTGTATTCTTTTCCAAAATGGGTTTGTCACCCTCAGAAGCAGCAGTTGGAACTTGCTTCTGTGAGCAGTAGCATCCTTTTACATGCTCAGGGTAGGTACTGCAGGGTTGGCAATGACGTGGAGAGCAAATATGATACCCTGTCAGTGAAGTAACAGCATATGTGTATTTAACACAAATGTGGCTATAGGCCTGTGGTAGAGAGAGACAGAAGTTTAAATGGGCTAGTAGATGTATTGGCCATTCAGTGAGCACGTAGCCTAGCTTGAATTGGGTGATATGAATCTGCTGTTCTTTAGGCCACTGTCCTTGTAGCCCATCTCACTGTGGAAGCATCTCCCTGCCCAGACGGGTTCTAATGTTTAAAGTTAAGTATTTTCTGTGCAACAAAGGGCCTGTGAACTCAAGCCAACTACTTTATCTGGTGGTCAGTCAATGAAACAGTGATCTGTTCCTGCATTGGAGGAAAAATTGGCTGTGCTGGACCAAGTGAGGGATGGCTTGCCCATCTCTATCATGTTCACTTTCTAAGTAACCTAAGGTGTACAATGATGATGTACAATTTTTGCCTTGCTCTACTGAGTGTAGAAACCACCCTTTCCAACAGCCTCCTCCAAGATGGAAGTCCATCTAATTGCTAGCCAGTCTTTGGACATCTTCCACATGCCAGGAATCTTACCAAAATGTGAATTTTATATGCTTAGCCTCCTTTGCAAAGATGCTCATACTATTACACAAAAACATAATTGTCAGTTTACTATCAGACCTTCCATGTAACCTATGCCTTGTGTTTAATAGCATTTTTCCCCATTTTCTCTTCAGGATGATAAAATCCCCGTCTTTAGTCTTAAAGGCATAACTTAACCTTCCCTACATCCTCTTTCAATGTAATTTTCTTCCTGACAAAGACTGAATGTAACTGCTTACCCAACAGCTAGATTTTTAAAGAGCAAGGACTTTGTCTGATGTCATCTCCTGAGCTATTTATAGGCAGGGACTGCAGCTTCTCACCGAGTTGATCTCTGGCCATCTCTGCCCCAGGACTCCAGCCTCTAACTCCACAATTTCTGAAGAGCATATTGCTCTTTCGCAGGAAAAGACATTACCACATTGGCCCCAATAGAAAAGGACAACAAATTTAGGGCAATCTTACTTTACAAAGTGGAGGAAATTTTTTAAATTACAGAAATTTAAATTCATCATATGAAAACATTCTGTTCCTTGACCCTTGAGGAATGAGGCAGTCAGTCCCTGCCTCCTCAGCTTTTTGTTGCTGAAGCTAGAGTTAGATAACTGTAATTAAAATTCAATTGTTCTCTTAGCAGCCCCCTCACTGCCAGCTCTTTAACAGCTTACAATGTGACTTACCTACCAGTCCAAGATTCAGGGATTTGGGATCCTGACCATCTTTCCATCTCATATGACAGACTTATTTGGAACAATAAAGCAGTTCCAGCTATCTGTTCTTATTCTTCAGCTATCTGTACCTTATTTTTCCTCCATTGGAAAAAGTTGTTTTTCTTTCTTGAAAAAATAGCTGCTTAGCTACTTACTTTGAGTTGAGGGAGACTGGCTGCTCCTCACTCTCTTTATGGCCCCTGGCAAAATTTGGAGAGCTTCCCCTCGCACTTAATCTCTAGGATCACTTAGATGATTTACTCACCTCTGAATTCAGAGTTCTCAATCAGAATTTCATCGGCCCTATTATTGGCGCCATGAGGAAACTGAACCTGAAGTTTCTGGAATCTGTTTATTTGATTCTCAGAAGCTTTCCGCATTCCAGAAAAATCAAAGACCCCGAGTCAGGACATTTCTCCTAGTGAAGAAACAGAAGCCAAGCCAGACACATTAAGACTCTCCAACAGCCTTATGTCTTTGCTCAACTGCAGTGTGACCAGTGGATACCCTGAAAGAAACCACTTAGAGCCAAAGGACTGTATGAGAGACTTAGTGAAGAAGTAATACATCGAGAATATCTTCCTCAGGAGTCTTTTCCAGCTGGCCCTGGGGAGAAACAAGTGATTGAAATTTCTTGGACATAATTGTGTAGTTGGAGCTATAGATCTCTTCTAAGTTGCTACATCACAACATAGCCAAGTCCTTGGCATCATGTGGCAGTGGAAAATGCCTGGGCTCAAGGGCCAGATGAACCTCAGCTCAAAACCTGGCTCTGCAATGTAAACGATCTGGGTTAATTTAGGCAAGTTTCTTAATCTCCCTGAACCTCCGGAGGGAGAGAAAATCATGACCCTACACAGGATCAAGCAAGATATCTAAAGGCCTGGGCACAAACCCTGGCACACAGTCATGGACGGATATTGGTTCTCTCATCTCCCCTTCTTGAAATTCAGCACATTGAAACAGCTGTGGAACATTGGGTGACTTTTCTAAACCTTTGTTTTCACATTTGTAAAAAGGAGATAACGATAATACCTATTACAAAAGATTATTATGAGAAGTGCATTTTAAATATATTGCGAGCCTTAACAAAAGTGGCCCAAGCCTCTCTCAACCTCTGAGAAGCCTTGATGGTAGCCCATGTGGATAGACTAGAAAGAAGTGATTGAAAATTGATGAAAGTTACAGCAAAATAATAGGAAAAAATAAAAAAACTACAAGGGTGCTTAGCCAAATGACAAAGTCTAGGTTGAAAAGTCCCACTGCCTGTGTTCAAATACTACTTTAGTAGCTCTCTGATTTGGGGGATAATAGTTACCTTCTGTGTATCATGGTTTCTATAGCCATAAAGTGAGGATAATAATAATGTGACCTTACTGCTGTGAAATAACCTGGCTCATAGCAATTAATCTATTAATATAATTACCACCATCATCACTATCATCATCATGCCATGAGATTTTCTTTTTTTTTTTTTTTTTCCTTTTTGAAGACTCCCACTATGGTAGATTTCAGGATACCTTCTATTTAATAACTAGGTCATAAAATTCCTGAAAATGTAACAACTGGCTCTGGTGAGCTGGTATAAGTGAGCTCAAGCACACCACTATTTAGATTCAGAGGTGGTAAACCCAAATCCTTTCAAGTAAATGTAGAAAATGGTCTAGTAATAGGAAAACAGGGAGCAGTGGGGATTCTGGTGAACCAGAGAGTATAAGCTCCGTTTAAAATCATTCACCCCACACTGGCCAGCTGCCAAAAAAAAAAAAAAATTTCAAATTCTAATGGTTTTGTTATTGTGAATGCAGTGTTCTTCTCCTTTCTAAGTTCTTATTGCTAGAATAAAAAAGGCAATTTTTGTATATTTGACCAATATCCAGACACCTTACAAGTTCTATTCATTCTGATAGGTATATTTTTAGTCTTTTAGGATTTCTATGTATACAGTCATTTTAACATCAATATAGTTTTATCTTTTTTCCAATGTTTATCCTCAGTTTTTTTTTTTTTATTGTATTCATTTTGGCTTAACATTGTCTTCAAAGGCCCATCAAGTTAAGTTAATTCATAAACTGAGACCTAGGGCAACCAGTTTTTGACCTTTGGACCAGATGATCTCAAAGGATCTTTCTATAGAATTTAAACTTCTACAATAGTCCATCTTACCCCTCCTCTTCACATATACACAGGGTGGTACTTGACTATTGGCCATTCCTTTGACCTTACTCCAAGCAAAGGACCACCCAAGGGCATTAACATTCTTCTGAATGAAGAGTACACCACTTTGAACAGACAGCATGGGAGGATGCTTTCATCTTTCTTGATATTATAGTGGCAGAGTTTTCCTCTGGTAAGATCCTTTTTTATATACACAGAGACAAATCCTTGAGATTCCTCTGATTTCTGTAGAGAATACCTTTTGGAGCTACCGTAAGTCATGCTAAGTTCTTTTTTTTTTTTTCCTTTTTGTCTTTTTTCGTGACCGGCAATGGATCGCAACCCTCAGTGTTGCGCCCACACCTCGCTCAGCCAGTGAGCGGCCGGTCTGTATGTGGGATCCGAACCCTTGGTGGGAGCGCCGCCGCGCTCCCAAGCGGTGCACTGTAGCAGTGCGCCACTGGGCCGGCCCCTAAGTTCTTCATTTGTACCATCTCAGAAGCACCTGGGCCTTAATACTCCCAAATGTTTGGATTTCTTATAAGGAAATGGGCCACATTACCTTCTCTGGTGGCCCCTTGAGCTGGCCTAACCCAAAGTACTCCTACCTCAAACTCAAATCCAACGTGGTCAATGGGGATGGCGTATTTCCGGGCATAATTCTGAGAGACACCTGTCAAAAAAGACTGTGTGAAGTAGAATCCAGAGATCCAAAAGACCACAGGGGGGCCCTTGTCAATCCATTCCTGGAGAAACAGAGAAGTAAAAATTCAAAATCAACAACACAGCAAAGATAGTTCAAAGGCAGGTAATGTAAATAAGTCCCATAAAGAAATATGCTTTTTCCCATTTTTCTTTAAATAGATAGCCCTCTTACTTTAGCTTATCTTTTCCCAGTTTTTATGAGACTGACACACTACCTACTACACTAACAGGATGCCCTTGTTCCCAGTTTTTAAGTAAGGGTACAAAGTAATATATTTCCACTTTAAGTAAAGCACAGGTGTGAGCTAGTGTCAGGGATCAATATAGAGTGGTGGGGACTGCAGCAGTAGGGGATACGTTTCTTGTCTCAACTGAGCAGCAGGCATTCATTTCCAGCAATGGTTGCCATGCAAAAATGCAGGCCCATTGTTTCAGGTCTTCCACTGTTTGCAGGACAAAAGTCTCTGGATTTTTAGGTGTAAAAATCCAATGTTTACAAGCTAACTCAAAATTTTTAAATTACCAGGTAGCCAAACCAAACATACGTATTTGCCAAATCTGGTACATAAGCCATCAGTCTGGGACATTTATTTTGGTTTCTACTCTTGCCTCCATAGACTATAACCTTTTCAAGGGCTACGAAAGGTCTCCCTCCTGCCCCCAGCTCTGGGAAGACTGTTTCCAGGTGCTCTCTGGGATGCTGCGTGGCTGTCTGCCCTACTCCTCCTGCCTCTAATCTGTCATTTCAGAACACCCTCTCCACCTGAATGAGCATGCCAGGTGCCCAGTTATGCTGACTCTTAGGTACCTGAAAGAAGGCCAGGCGGGCCAGCAGGTCAGCTATGTAGCCCCCCAGGGGCTTCAGTGATGGGTAGGATTTGGCTGCCCACATGCCTGGCACTTTACCCATGAGCATGCTATTGAAGACTTCCTCCAGCTCTGAGGACATAAGGACCTGTCCTTTGATGGCTCGCCCAAGATCAATGAGGCTTCTACGAACCACTTCTGTCAGCCTGCAAGAACAAAGGAGATGGTTGAGCTTGGCTCTCTGGTGGCCACAGTCTACCCAGGAACACTGGCTCCAGGTCTCCTTTCATAACGCCCCCATAGCCTTGAAAGGTCAATAAGTGCACAATCATTAGTTGAGAAGAAAATTAAATCAACCATTACCTCAAGGTAACTTTGATGTATATCTTTCCAGATTTTTCTCTATGTAAACAGAATAAATTTGGGGGGTGGGGGAGGTGGTGGTATGGGGATCTGAACCCTTGACCTTGGTGTTATCAGCATCACACTCTAACCAAGTTAGTTAACTGGCCAACCCTTAAACACAAAATATTTTTAATGGGATCATACTATATTACCTTTTTTGTTATTTGTTCTCTCTTAGTGTATAGGGAACATCTTTCCAATTCCATAAATAGAGACCTAAATCATCCTTTTTAGTGACTACCGAGTGTTCCATTTTATTTAACTACTCCCCTATTGTTGAAACATTATTTCTAGATTATTATTGTTGTAAGCAACATTGCCAGGAACATCCATCTGTATCAATCTTTGTGCGAATGTCTATTTTCCTTCTAAAAGAATTTCTGGTTCAAAGGGCATGCACAGTTTTAAGCCTTTTAATCTATACTGCTAAAGTTGTTCTTTTTATAGATTGCAAGGTGCACACCTGAGAAAAGGCAACCAAAGGGCAGCCTGGGAGATGCCACCTGCCTCTCTCTCTGTTCTGAATCCCAGCCAAGCCCACAGGGAGTTCACCAGAGTGTGCCAAATAATCTGCCACTAGAGAGAGCTTGTCATCCTAAAGACGTATGGAATCTTAACCAAATAAGCAGAAGAATGATCAAATGTAAGAAAGGGATTCCTGGATGTGTAACCACCAAACATTCATATCCAGAGGAATTTAAGGTTCAGATATCTGGTGCATGTGCTTGCTGAGGGTCAAGGGTCAAAGCTACCATCTGAGGGATTACACCACAGACCTCTGTTCCACCTAAAGACCTGATCGCAAATTGTTTCTCTCTTCTTGCAAGTATGGACTCTGCTAATCTCAAGGTTTTGGTACTCAAGGAAGCAACACTTGCCCCAGAAGACACAACAGTGGTTCCCCTGAACTGGAAGCTGGACTGTCACCTAATCAATTTGGGCTCCCTATACCACTGGGCGAACAGGCAAAAAAAGGTAGAGGGCAGGGATGGTAGAGTATTACCTGAGCTGATTAATGGAATGGTACAGAATATTGCCCAAGGTGATTAAAATCCTGACCATCATTAGGAAATAAGATTGCTGTTACCCTGTTCTCTTATATTATTACCACGACTAGTGGTAAAGGCTAATGAAGGTCCCTGCAACCACCAAGGAAGAGCTCCAGTGGCCTTAGGAAAGAATGGGTAACAGAGAAGGGAAGACATTGGGCCTGGTGTCTGGTCAGACGAATGAGGACCACAGCCCTCTATGCCAAGGTGAGTTTTCTCATCTGTAACATGGTGGTAGAGGGATTAATAACTGTGCATATTTCTTTTTTTCTTTTTTTTTTTTTTCGTGACCGGCAACAGATCGCAACCCTCAGTGTCACGCCCGTACCGGACCGGGACCGGCAACGGGATCGCAACCCTCGGTGTTGCTCCCGCACCCTGCTCAGCCAGTGAGCGGCCAGTCTGTATGTGGGATCCGAACCCTCGGCGGGAGCGCCGCCACGCTTCCCAAGTGGCGCACTGTAGCAGTGCGCCACTGGGCCAGCCCCAACTGTGCATATTTCAAAAGACGATTGTGTGTTTTGAATGAGAATCATGCCTAGTGCTTGGAACCATATCTACCAATAAAACCAGCTCAAATGACAACTTTTACTATGAGTTTGTGCTTAGTGTGAGTTTTAACCTGACTTTACAGATGTCACATAAATGAATGGGAGAGAATGGATAGAAGGAATGATATAACCGCGGCCCACACAAGCTGGAGAGGGCCCTGTTCACAGCTCCCTACGGGTGGGACAAACCACATCCTCTGCATGGCAACCCAAGTATCTCAGCTACTGCCCATTAGATTCTACCCCTCATACTCCAACTCCCAGGCAAAATGATCCGGCCCACCTGTTGAATCTGATGATCTCCTGCCTTAGGACAGTATTCATGGATTCCTCATAGACCACGGGGTACAACTCCATGACCACTTCCAGGTCAAAGTCTTTGGGAAGCTTGGAGAGTAGGTCCTGGGCCAGCTCCTCAACCACTTCCTTCGTTGCAGGCAGTAAAGACATGCATGAGAAACAAGACCAAAGGCTGAGGCTTTGTCTGGGTAAACTTGAAGTAGTGAGCATCTGTCTCTTTAAACATGGTCTATTGGACTTTCCTGGGAACTCTCCTACAGAAGCCAGTTCTACCTCATGGAGTGGGGGGGTAAAAGAGGGCACTCATCACCCCACCAGCCTTGGGGAGGGCATCACCGCTCGGCCCAGAGAGTGAAAATGCTGGACAATGAGGACCCTGTCCTCACACATGGGGCAAGGGTCTGAGGGCCAGGCAGGGGATTCCTGCTCAGTCAGGAAGCCTCAGGGCAGAACTAAACACTGCCAAACACCTTGTGTCTTCAAGGTCACCTCTGGGTGAGACTCTCCCAAAGGCCTCAGAGCTGGCCCCATAGGACCAGCTCCTGGTGCAGATGTGACTCTCTAGGAAAAAGAAAAGCCCTGCGCTTAGCTGACTTGGGAGGGGGATAGGCCTAGAGGACTAAGGAGGAGTAGGACCCAGGTGTGGGAGAGACAGACAGCTCTGCCATCCTGTGGATCTGGGAGACCGGAATGTCACTTCTTTCCCTCTTCCCACCGTGAGGGCAAATTCCACCCTACACTGAAATACACCAACCAGGCTGGTTTCCCTTCCTATCAGTTACCACTTATGGCACTACAAACCAAATCAAGAAACCAGAGCAGCAAGGTCCATAGCTGGAAGGGGTGGAACATGAGATAGCTTGAAAGGTAGAGAAGTGAAGGAAAGGGTGGGAGAGATGGGGTGGTGGAGTCAGGAGATGGTGATGCTGGGTCTGGCTCTGCCTCTGATTTTAGGGAGGACTTGAAGCCAGTCACTTCCCCTCTCAGGGCTTGTTTTCCTTTCATTTGCAGACTGAGGTTGGTAGACTGGGTCAGTGTTTCACAAAATGTGGACTGGCACCACTAGAGGTACCCAGATTTTAGGTGTCTCCAGGACACAGAACAAATAAGTTATTCTCTTTTCAAGTTTTGAGCATCCTTCTCTTTTCATTCTTCTCAAATAGAAAGTCTCAGGTTGGTGCTAATTTAACAGTTCTGTAACACTTGCTGATCTTTTAACAGGAAGGCCTTAGTTCAGGGGCTTTGGCCAGCAACAACATCTGGGAAGAACTTAATAACTATTTAGCTTTCATTTTCTTTTTGTGCCTATTATGACCTTATGGAAATGATATTGGGTTTCCATTTTATGCTTCTGATGTGCAGTTTTTAAAAGAAATGTTCTTAAGCAAAATAGTTAGTTTAAAATATGTAAATGTATGTAAATGTCATACGTAAATCACCTATTATAGGTGATACGTGGATATAGTGAAATGTCATAAGGGAATAGTTGATGTTTTGGAAACACTGGTTCCCTTCCAGCTCTGTAAGACTAGAGCACCCACTCCCTTCTTTGGGGGTGTGCTCAGTCCCCACTTTCTGCCTTCTTGGTCAACACCTACAATCCTGTGTGCCCACTGGATGGGAAACACCTATCCCAAGCTGGGTTACCTGGGGGGACTTGCCGCTCCCTCCCGACTGTCTAGGGAGGGTCAACATCACCCCTTGAAACAGTTGGTTGGTTTCCTGGTTGTCCTTGGTAATGTCAGCATTTTCGTGGAGGCCGAACACTTCTGGGTGGGCTGTGATGGGGAGGGTCCTGAGATACTCGATATAGGACTGGAAAAGAAATCTTCAGTTGATGTAAACACAGGGTCCCCGGGGTCCCACAGATGACTCAGGGCTTAGCTGGACCCAACCCAAACAGGAATCACACTGTGTGGTAGCACAGGCCCCACTCCCCACCCTCCCCACCACTCACAGCCAGGCTGGGTGAACACATCTCAAGCTCTTCCTCATATAGTTTTCTGGGGAGTATCTCCTCTCTCACCCCAGCTTCCTCTCTTCTCCCCAGGAATCCTGGCTTTGGAGTCAGAACTGGGTTTGGATCCTAGTCATCTGATACCCCAGTATCCTTATCCGTAAACAAGAAGACAAATGAGGTTATAAAGGGATAAAACCTTGGCATGTAATGGTCATCAATAGAAGTAAGCTCCTTTTCATCCTTCCTCCAAATTTCTTGTTTTCATCTTCTCCTTCCATTTCCTTGTCTAGTTTTTCTGTCTCTTCTCTTTTGCTACCTTCTGAACCTTTGTTTTCAGGTAGCAACTTCCAGCCTGTTCATTACCATGGCTTTATCTTAACCATCCTTCTTTCTCCTCACCCCCCTAGAAGAACCCTATATTTTGAAAGACCTTTTCTCCCAAATACCCAGCACTCATTCAACAGTAGCAATGTCTCTCTTGCAGACTTTTGGGAATATTGGAACTAGCTTATAGACCCCAGTCAGGAAGCGCACAGCTGCTCCTGGGATCTCCTTGGCTACACTGCAGCCCCATAGCCATATGGAGACTACTGAGCTCCTCCGAGGGAAAGAGGTAGGCTCCCTCCCTCAGCCCTCACCTGGTAGGTGCCATGGGGAGGGATGTAGTAACTGTCTCCAGGAGCCAGGCGGTAATAGTCCTGCTCGATTTCCTTACAGTAGAATGTGGACAGAAGGGACAGCAGGAGACGCCTGTCTTTGTCATCAGTCACTCTGCCTCCATAGTTACATTCCCCTGGGGACAACCGACAGAGGAAGAAGTTGAGCCCAGGGAAGGTCAATAATGAGCTTGGTCATCAACCTGAAATATGGGATTCTTCCAGCCAAGGAGCTCTGCTGGGACACAGTGTTGCTGAAGCCATACTTAGCATGGGATGAGAAGGCCTTTTTGGTATTAGGGTTGCTACAAAAATAATACATGTTCACCTTATTAGAAATTAGAAAAGAGAGATAAACCAAAAGAAAAACAATATAATCACCAAGAATTCCACCAAAGATAACTATTAATATTTAGGCATCTTCCACACATTTTTTTTTGTACATGTAGACATATTGTATATGTGAAAGGTATTACAAAAATGTGGTTTAGGATAAGAACTTTGGCCTGAGACAGTCCTGAGTTCCAATTTTAGCTCTGTCACTTAACAGCAGTTTCTCATTGGTCAGAAAGCTGAGATAACTACAGTACCCAGCTTACAACACTGTGGTTAAGATTAATTTTTAGATTATGTTTATAAAGCACTTAGCATGATGCTTAGCATATAGAAATCATTCAATTAATTACAGCTATTACAAATACATATACTTTAGAAAATTGAGATTACCTATATATACTGCTTTGGGATATGACTTTCCCCACCCCAGTACCTCATCATTAATGTTATTCTATGACATTCTGGTTTCTACACTCAGATTTATACGAAAAGAATTAGGTAATCCTTTGGAGTAGACATTACATCCAGACCATCAACCTTGTAATGCATTTTGCAGCTGGTCTAGATTTCAGAGTATTAGAGTATGTGGGTGCACCCTGGTATTTGGTAGCTGGGGTTGACAGACTGGTCTACAAGGAGGAGACACATCTGTGTTTGAGGGTGTGTATGAGTGTGTGTGTGTGTGTGTGTGTGTGTGTGTGCAAGGACTCCTCTGAAGGGTGGGCTCATTCCCAATTTCAACCATTCCAGGAAGAGGCAGGTCTACAGACAGGAAACAGGAGTAGGCAAGAGATGGACCTTTGATGTCTTAACACCCATGAGATTTGGGGGTTGTTTATTACCTCAGCCTATCTTGCCTATCCTAACTGGCACAGTTGGAAAGTGACTATCCTCAAGCTGGCTAGCACAGGAGGGACAGGGTGGTTTATGACCGGCAGGCAGTCAACTGCTAAGACCACATCCAAGGGCAATAGTGTGCTCATTCTATGGACTGAAGAGGAGTGCTGAGATATTCTTCCACATAGCCTGGAATGAAGAGAACATGGCTCACTTCTTTGGAGAAGTTCTTTCATAAAACTAAGATTTGCTGAACTTGTACTGTGTATGCCACTTTGGTTTTGTTTTAGGGGACGTTGTACTGACAATCACTTTAAATCAGGATTTCTCAACCTTGGCACTATTAACATGTCGGACTGGATATTTCTGTGTTGTAGAAGCTGACTGTGCATTACAGGATGTTTATCAGCATCCCTGGTCTCTGTTTACTAGATGCCAGTAGGACTCCCCTTTAGTTGTGACAACCAAAACCATCTCCAGACATTGCCAAATATCCACTGGGGGGCAAAATCAACCACAGTTGAGAACCACTGCTCTAAAGCCTCAGTCTCTTCAGCTCTAAAATGGGGTTACTAATATGAAACTCATAAGATTGCTGTGCAGCCTCAATGTATTGATCATGAGTGTGAAATGCTTGCCAGGTGCTTGGGAAAAGGATCCAGACAAACTCTTTAACACATGGAGCTGAGGAGGGAACTCATGTGTGATCTTGAAGATGCCCCAGTTTTCTACTGGGCTGCACTTTGATCTTTAGCTATGGTATTTCATTCATTTAACACATCTCTATTTCATCTGCCATCTCTGAGACTATACAGTGTGTTTCTTGAGGGCAGTGACCAAAGTTTATACATTTATATTCTTCCATATCATGTCCTAGTACATATTGGGTGACTAATAAAGGTTGCTGATGGATTGCTTTACTGAAGGTGTTCCCACCTCAGGATCACTCTGTCAGGAGTGTTCTCCTTCCTGCCACTGCCCCCTTCCCCTGTTTCCTTTCCACTTGTAAAACCCTGACCCATCCCTCAAAACCCATCTCTTCTGCCTTCAGGAAGTTTTCCATGATCACCTTCATCTCCCACCCCTGAAATTTAATCATTGTGCTGCCTTTCTACTTTATAAGTGCTTCTCTTGTTGAACTTATCACTATTGTCATTTATTTCTTTATATTTTCCTCCTTTTGTAGATTGTGAGACACTTAAGTGTAGGGATTATATCTTAATTTCATCTTTTTACAATATCCAGCACGATAACTAAAATTAGTAAGAGCTCAATGTTTGTTGAGTGAATGAATGAGTGAGTGAGTGAATGACTGAATGCAGACAGGAGCAGAAGAGCAGGAAGGTGGAATATGATACTGAGGGTTTACAGCAGCAAGCTCCTCCCAAAATACCTGTCAGGTATGTCAGAGCGTCAAATGGCACCTCCTTGTAGTCACTGAGAAACATCTGTATCTGCTGCATACTAATCCTTAGGTCGGATTCGTTGAATTCATAAGGAATATTCCAACCTGCATGAGGCAGAGAGAATTAGACGCTTCAACGCTGAGAGCTCTTAATTTTCACTCAGAAATTGAGCTGGTGGAGTTAAGCATCGTTATGGATCAAGAGCCTCTTTTAGCCCCATGAATATCAAACACTGGGCCAACTACTAGCCTTGACATTTACTGCCAACGTGGGAACCATTCTGCCTGAAGAAACATCCATTCTAAAATCAATTTCCTTATGGATCTCCCCACTTGTTAAGGAAGACATTAACATCCTGGGATTTGTGGAATGAGAATTATTCAGCCTGGCTGGAATAATGTGGTAAGGCACAGAGCTCCAAAAATAACACTAAAACATAGCTAGAGAGCAGCAGCTATGATTAGGCAACAAAACTAAGCTGGTTTTAAGAATTCCCTTCCTCACGCTCATGGGAAAAGTGGGTGACCAGCCTTACAGAAACTGACACTTGCATTTGTAAGGGTGTAATGGAAAATGCCCATGGGGGCCAGACACATGACATAAATGTGTGAACTGGGCCCGGTATAAGACAGCAGCTATGCTGGGACCTGTGCTCAACAGAGGAGATTAATTTCTTCCTAAACATTTACATCAAATTAAAGATATTATAAAATAATAAGACGTGTGTGCTGGCAGATAAGCACAACTGGGCAGGTGGTTGTGAGCTGCACTGCTGCATGGATTTTTAAAGGTCTGGCACGGACAGGGGGAGAGTGGCAGCTGAGAAGGTGATGTTTGAATTGCAGGTGCAGAGGGATGTCCCCTTGGCTGCCTCGACCCTCCACCACTCAGTGGAAGAGTCAGGTGGTCTGTGGAGCTAGCTGGGCCCAGGGTGTGGAGGTTGAAGGAAAGGAAGAGAATGTTCAGAGAGAACCACTGAGGGGACAATTTGCCTCCTTATATAACCTAAAAGAACTGCTAAGAACACCCTGAGGGAGGTCATTTCAAGGCTACTGAACAGAACCAAAGGCAGCCCATAGGTGAAAGAAAGGTAATCCAGGGCTGGCCCGGTGGTGCACTCGGTAGAGTGCAGCGCTTGGGAGTGCGGCGGCACTCCCGCCGAGGGTTCGGATCCCATATAGAGACCGGTCCGCTCACTGGTTGAGCGCGGTGCGGGCGCGACACCAAGGGTTGCGATCCCGTTACTGGTCATGAAAAAAGACAAAAAGGAAAAAAAAAAAAAAGGAAAGGTAATCCAACCTTAAAACCATTATGATATGGGATTTGTATTTAGCAGTTCGATGATCTGCTCTAACAAGATTATTAAGCTTCTCATAAGTTAGGCCATGGATAGGTTATGTTAATAAAGAAATGCATTGTTTTTCAACAAGAAGCACAGACAAATGTCCCAGGTGTATTTCTGTCTTTTGTTGTTATGCACATGTACAGAGATGCCTAAAATGTTATAAATCACCTGGTGACAACTCCCTGGAGAATGGTCATTGTGCCTAAAATAGGCAAACACGTGCCAAAGGGAAGAAGTCCAGTCCTCTCATTATCACATTACTACAGTAATTAGGGAACCTCTGATTTTGAAGCATCACCTCTCTCCCTGACATTGACATTGACCTAGTCCTAGTTATAGGGTTGCCAGATTAAGCAAATAAAAATACAACACAATCAGTGGAATGTCCATTTTAGATAAATAACAAATTATATATAGTATAAGTATGCCCCAAATACCACATGGAACATACTTATACTGTGTTTACCAGCAACCCTATCTGAGTGGAAACTTGAACACACACCTGTACACACACCTGTGTCTGTCTGTGATCCTTCCCCCAGGCAACCCAAGTGCACTGTCATTGCTTACCTAGGGGGCCAAAATTTCTCCTCTCTTGAACGACGGCGTGGAAAAAACAAAGGCCAAACAACAGCTTTTGCCACATCACTGCCTTTGCACAGCTTTGGAAAAACACGGGGTCTGAGATGGGATCATTGAGGTAGGAGCGCAAAAGATTGGCCCGAAGCCCTTTGGGGGGCTCGTTAGTCATTTTGATCCCATTCTGGAGAATGCTGACTGGAAACTTCTCTGATGGATAGCTGGTTAGCCAGAGCCTGGAAGAACAACGAAACCAGCTGTCAAGAGCAACACAATAACAAAAAATAACAGCTACCATTTATTAAGCACAGCTAGATGCTAAACCCACACTAAGAATTTATTACATATTCTTTCATTCTCCTTAATCCTCACAGGCACCCCATGAGGAAGGATTTACTATCCCCTTTTACCAGTGAGGAGATGGAGACATGGAGCAGTCAGTTGGGCTTTTCAAGGACACACCATTTGGAAGTAGATGAACTGAGATGAGAACTCGGGACTCTGACTCCAAAGCTCCTGATCTTAACCCCCTCGCTCCCTGCTGGAGGACTTTATAAGCATCTATTATTGGGTAAAGTACCATACCAAGCACCATATGTGCAATCGAAGTGGGCAAAACCTTGTTTCTAGCTTCCAGGTACTTATGGCCTATTGCTAGGGGAGGAAATGGGGGACAGGCAAGGGATAAAAGACAAGCAAACAGGATTCCATCATACAAGGCATTATAAAATCAAGACCCCAGGAAGGGAGCATGGACTGTGGGGGTCCATGAAAAGAAGAGTTTTCAATGCGTTGGAGGGAGCTAGGCAAACATCAGAGAGCAAATATCAGCAAACTATGGCTAGGGAGCTGAATCCAGCCTATTGCCTGTTTTTATAAGCAAAGTTCTATTGACACACAGCTATGCCCCTCATTTACACATTGTCTGTGGCCGCTTTCACCCTGCAATAGCAGAGTTGAATAGCTGCAGCAAAGACAATATACACACAAAAAATGGCAACGTGTATAAAAGTGTTTAGAAGCAAATAAAATTTGTAATTTTACTCTGCCTGTTTTTATAAGCAAAGTTCTATTGACACACAGCTATGCCCCTCATTTACACATTGTCTGTGGCTGCTTTCACCCTGCAATAGCAGAGTTGAATAGCTGCAGCAAAGACAATATACACACAAAAAATGGCAACGTGTATAAAAGTGTTTAGAAGCAAATAAAATTTGTAATTTTACTACGAATAGGTTAACATTTTGGTATATTGCATTCCAGGCTCTTATTAATTTGTTTTTCCTACCCAAGCTCAAGTTACATACACACCATAGCATCCTGCTTGCTTGTTGGTTTGTTTGTTTGCCGGACATCAGGGAGATTTCCAGCAGGTGGATCGGGGAGTGGAAAGTCATTAGAGGCACAGGCTGAGTAACCGTGTGGAGGAGGGTGAGCTGGGGATATGGTCAGGCTTGACAGGCAGTTGGCTGTGGTCCAGGCACAGGGCTGGGAGGGGAACAAGGAGGCCTTAAACTGGTGGCCTAAGACCTGACCTCAGCCTGCAGATGGGTGATGTTTGGTTCATGCCATTTGAACCCACACAATGCTGAAACATTTTTGACATAGCTGCCAACTTTTAAAGATCTAGGGCTTTCTCCTAAAACTCTAGATTCTCACCTTCCTTTCTCAGCCTGCAGATGGGTGATGTTTGGTTCATGCCATTTGAACCCACACAATGCTGAAACATTTTTGACGTAGCTGCCAACTTTTAAAGATCTAGGGCTTTCTCCTAAAACTCTAGATTCTCACCTTCCTTTTAAAATCATCAGAAAGTCTGATCACAAGAAGCCTGAATTCCCGAATGGAAGCAGTTAGTAAGCATTTGGCAGTAACTACCGTTCTCTATAGAGCACGTGCTCCCAGTTAACCGCAGTCCCCACCGTTCCCTCTATGTATGATGCTGAGGCCAGCTGCCTACGAGGGTAGTCGTTGTGCTGTGGAAGTGGACTATTTCTGTGTCCAATCCTCTTCACTCATTTATGTTACATGCCTGGTGCCTGTAAGCAATTGAGTTCATGACTTTTGGGCTAGGACCACATTATAGTAGACCTTAAATGTGAACATAAATAATGTTTTCTTTACTGAGTGTGTCATTGGAGGTCAGTGAATCCACTCACCATTCCAAACCCAGTAATATTATTGAAACTAATGGACTTCTCTTAAACTCTATCCTTTTTGGAAGTCTTATATGAAAACAAACCAACTAGGGCCTAATCTGACTTTGTAAATAAGCACCAAACACTTTTCTATTTTCAGGCAGACATGACTAAAATGAAAATAACCAGCAAGCTTTGTTGCCTAGAGCAGGGGTTGGTAAACTTTTCCTGTAAAGGAACAAATAATAAATATTTCAGATTTTGTGGGCCCATATGGTCTCTGTTGCAACTACTTGGAGCACAAAAGCAGCCACATGAGTAAGCATGGGTGTTCTTCAATAAAACTTTATTTCTGGACACTGAAATATAAATTTCATATAATTTTCATGTGTCATAAAATATTATTCTTCAGTTTTTTTCAAACATACAAAAATTAGTAATAGAGTTTGGACATGTTGGCCCCCCACCAAACTCATGTGGAAATCTGATCCCCAGTGTGGCAAAGTTGGGAGCTGTTTGAGTCATGGGGGCGGATCCCTCATGAATGGATTAATGCTCTCCCTGCGGGAGGGGGTAGTGAGTTCTCGCTCTGTTAGTTCCCTTGAGAACTGGTTGTTTAAAAGACCCTGGCACCTCCCCTCTCTCTCTCTTGCTTCCTCTTGGCACATGACCTTCTTGTACCCACTGGCTGCCTGCTGCTTTCCACCATGAATAGAAGCAGCCTGAGACCCCACCAGTTGCAGCTGTCCCAGAATTGTAAAACAAATAAACCTCTTTTCTTTATAAATTACCCAGTCTCAGGTATTTTGTTATAGCAATAAAAAATGGACTAGTACAACTAGCTTGCAAGCTGTACCGAAAATAATCAGAAGGCTAGATTCGACCCATGAGCCGTAGTGTGTTCATCCCTGGTCTGGAAGAACAGAATCCCTGAATTTTTTGAGTTGAAAGGGATTTTAAAGTCTGTCTGGTTCACCCCTCATCATTCTATGAATGTGAAAACTGAGACTCAGCCTTGTTGGGCTTTAAAGTTCATAAAAAACAAACAGTTGTTTCCAATGTTGATTAAAATTCCATGGAGCCCAAGAAATATAGGATAAAGGAATGACAAATGATTCCTGCACTTTCTTACTCAAACTAGTACAGCAGGTATTACACAGTATCAACATTATTCATCCATGGGCTACCTTCAGCTAGACCAGGAGCTTCCCAGGGTCAGGACAGGATGTTGTTCATCTTTGTATTTCCAGCCATCAGCATTTGTCTGGAAGTTGGGTCTCAGAGACACGCAGCAGTGGGACAACATCTCACCTGAATCTGATGTGGGTGCTATCAGGAACAATCACCTCTTCACAAATCTTCTCCAGCTCAGGCATCCAACTTGTGGCCAGGTGGCAATTCTGTAAGACCACCCAGGTCCCATCTTTGATGGCACTGTTGATCATTTTGGCAGCAATAGGGCCTTGGCCTTGGCCAAGGGAGATGGTCTGTGTTCTGGTACCTCCCATACCAAGATCATCAGCAAACTTTAGCAGGCCTGAGACCAAAAAGAAAAGGGGCTTTTAAGAGAGAACAGGCCAGCTAAGATCATATTAACAATAACAACATAATAGGAGGGGTTACATCAAAATTTTGGATTCAGAAACTCATTGGCTTCCATTAATTACAAAATAAACATCTCTCTGGGGAAGCTTTAGACGTCTGATAAGACAGTTGAACAAGCTACAGTCAACTCGCCTTTTGCTCTAGACACATAGACATTCTTAATAGAAAATAATCAGTAAAAAAGAAATACAAAACATAATAAAGTTCAGAATTCTATTAAAAAATACATGAATTTGGAACAAAACAAGTAAAACTTCTAGAAATGGATAGCGCACTCATTGAAGATAAAAACTCAAAGCACTGATTAAAAGAGCAGATTAGGTACTAAAAAAGAGAGAATTAGTGGAGAGTGAGGTCTGTAATCAGGGAACCACCTAGTAGTAATGAGCATTTCTAGTGTCCAGATTGTGGTCTCCAACCACCATTTCCTGTGAAAGAACTGGGGTTTCTTTGAATAACATTTGTTTCCAGGTCTAGGGCAGGAAATGTACAAGATGAGATTGGAATATACAATAGTTCTAGGAGTCAAGAAGGCTGTCAAAATTTACTGGGGTTATGCAAAAAGACACAGGCATGAAAGTACTCCCATAAGTTGAATAATTTGAGCATCAAAAGAATAATCATGGCTTCAGAGTAAAACACCATTATATCTGAAATATCCAATATGTTGAAATTCATGCATTCACAATGGTGCAAAAAATCTTATTGCTTCACTTTGGAGGTTACTAGAGCACCAGTTCAACATTCTCAATGCTGGTAAATAAGAAAGAATCAAGTATCTATTCTGCCTGTCCTGTTTCAACTATATTTGGAGTAAACCAAAGCATCAGCAAAGGAAAATTCTTCTTTATAGAAGAGTTCCAGCTAATAAATGTGGAGGGAAGGACAGAATCAAAATATCACCATTCTGTAGCCCCTTATGAAATAATGGATCTTGGTAATGATTTTCAAAAGCCAGTAAAACTATTAGTCAGTGGTTCCCAACATTGGCTGCATGGTGGAATTACCTGAAGAGCTTTGTGAAACACGATGCCTGGGTCTCACCCCAAATATTTTAATTTAATTGGTCTAGGATGTGGCCTGTGCATTGAGATTTTTTTCTTAAAGCTCCTCAGGTGATTCCAATGTTGAGAACCATCACGTTAGGTGACAGGCTGATGGGAAACTTTATAAAGAAGAGGCTGGAGGAGTGGGGCTGGCTCACATTGTCAATGCCTCCTGTTGTGAGGCCCAAGAGGGACACAGCAACTATAAAGTTTCCTGTGAAATCATCCAAATCTGATCAAACTTCTCAAGTAGAGGAACCGGAATAGGCTAATTATGCCATCGGATGTAGCCAGCCCATCCTCTACCAGCAGATCATCAATTTATCATATTTATTTATCATCATCTGCTTTACCTGTCTTGGCTTCCCCCTATGGAATAGGCTAATTATGCCATCGGATGTAGCCAGCCCATCCTCTACCAGGAGATCATCAATTTATCATATTTATTTATCATCATCTGCTTTACCTGTCTTGGCTTCCCCCTAGTTTCTCTTTTATAAATCTGCCACATAAAGGGCACAGGGGTAAAAGCAAAAGTGCAAGAAAGGGGTCATGAATTGCTCCTTGGTGCTTACAGGAACCAGAAAGGGCACCAGTTTAGTTCAGCTCCTCCTCTGCCTTCCTTTGAGGGGCAGAGGTGCCGGCTTGTTTTCTGGGTGAGGATACATGCCAAACCTCCCAGCTGTCACAGGAGAATGTCACTCCTGTCACTTGCATTTCTGGTACTCTTTCTTCATTCAGCAACAGAGAACACAAAAGTACTGGGATGCCCCAACAGAACAGAAAACGAATCTATTCCTGTCAACAACTCATCATATCCTTCCATATGCATAAATTATTTCTGGAAAGATACACAGAACTGGTAAGAGTGGTTACCTCTGGGAGGATGAGGAGCAAGATGTAGCTTACACTATGCCAGGCTTTCTCAACCTCAACACAATTGACATTCGAGGCCAGATTATCTTTTGTTGTGGGAGACTGTCCTGTGCACTGCAGGACACTGAGCAACACCTCTGGCTGTTTCTATCTTTCTGTAGGCAGTGGCACCCCACTAGTTGCAAAACAAAAACATCTCCACACATTGCCAAATATCCCCCGAAGGGCAAAAATCACTCCTGGTTGAGCCACAATTCTATATCTTTTGGCCTGATTTGATTTTTTAAAAAACTACGTGAAGCATTAATTATTCAATTAAAAATTAAAAAATTAAAGCAGCTAGTCAGAGAAAAAAGTTTAAGACACAGGGGATAGACTAGCACCCAGCAAGCTAAGTCCAGCCCTGGGCTTGGCTGTCATAAGGTTTTTAAGAAAAAATGTGAATGACTTATCAAGATTAAAAATGAGCAATTTCTGCATTTTTGGTTTCTCTCAAAAAATCCGATGATCTGGCAATTCTGGGCTCACATTCCCAGATGGCACAGTTTGCGGGTGCTGAGTAGCAGCCGCCCCAGCCCCACCTTTGCCTGTTAACTGCTGAGACCCCTGCTGCAAGGAGCATGCTCTTGTTACCCATCCCCGCATTGTGGGCTTACGTTCTTTACGCAACATTCTGTCCTCACCTGTCATAGGGTCTGCGCCTGGAGACAACACGAAAATCAATGGTGCACAACAACTGGAATCCTTGTGGCATTGTGGGCTTACGTTCTTTACGCAACATTCTGTCCTCACCTGCCATAGGGTCTGCGCCTGGAGACAACACGAAAATCAATGGTGCACAACAACTGGAATCCTTGTAGGATCCCTGGAGATCAAATGTCGGGGCTTCAATGTACACCTTTCCCATGTGTTCAGCAATAAACTCCCGAATGGCTGGGATCATTTTGTCAGGCCGCAAACATCGGAGGATCACCATCCTTTCCAGTCCTTGAAGGAACTTCCACGATCCAGGGAATTCCTCCTCATGGGGCCAGGCCGAGTCATAGATAAGTTTCCACTCAAGTGCGTTTTGTTCCAAATGTTCCATCAGGCCTTTCAGTTTCGGTAAGGAGGATGCACGAACAACTTCCGACCACGCCTTCTCAGACAGCCATTCAGAAAGTGGGTTGGGGAAGGGGTTATCCAGGGCGATGCCTCCAGTTAGAAGGAAGTACCAAATTTCCTCGTTGATTCGCCTTTTCTCTTTCATGATGCCGATGGTCAGGAGGAGGGAGAAGAGCAGCTTGTCCTTCTCAAACAGGGAGCGGCAGACATTGTTGTAGATGCTCAGGGTGAAATGCTCAATGATGTGCTCGATTCGCAGATCCAGGTCTTCACTCTTCCTGCTGTGGGCCAGGGAATGCACGTACAGGCTGATGAACCACGTCAGGGAGTATTGGTACATGGGCTCAATGTTGGCCAGGTCAGAGATACAGAAGAAGATGGTGGCAGAGTGGACAGCCACTGGCTTGTAGCCCAGACGAGTCTCGTCGATCTGTGTTTCTGTCATCGAAGCTATTTCCTGTTTCTCCGAGATTTCTTCAGAGAGCAGTTTGGAGGAGGACAAAACCTTGATGGCAGTTTCATCCTCAAGGATGTTGCCCTCGGACTTAGACAGGACCTCTAAGATCTTATCTTCAATTTCCTTCAGCTGCTTCTTGTTCTTGGCACTTTCCACAATCAACTTGTTCTTTTTCTCTTCCAGTTCTGGCTTCTCCTTGGCAGCCACAATGCCAAGGAGTTGATCTTGGAGACCCAACGGGGTGATCATGAAGTTGAGGAGACAGACTTTCACGGCGACCTCAGGGAGGTAATGAGGGTTCCTCAGACGGGTTGTTATGTACAACTTAAAATCCCTGGAGTATTCGATGATATTTTCACCCAGCCTCATGTACTCAACCCCTTGCTGCTTGAATGTGGCCTTGAGCAAGATGGGTTCAATAAAGGCATCTAGCTCTTCTCCCACGTTTTCAAGTAAGACAGGGTTACCAAATTGCAGAGCGTTTTCCAGCACCCTCACATAGTTGGCATCAGAGAACTTGATGACTGACAGTTTATTCGCTTTCTCCATGTTCTTGATCCACTTATTAGCCTGACCCTGAGGGTCAATCATTAAGGCCCAGCGTCTGGAATTGGACACAATGATGCCGTTGTCAATGGAGAAGGAGTCAACGGGGAGCCCAGCAATCTGCCAGGCGCGGATTTTTACGGGATCCCCTAAGGTATTGCTGAGACTGAAGTCACTGGAGCCTGGGATGACCTTGTCCTTACATTGGGCCAACCACTGGTTTTGGCACTGGGTCCGATAATCTACTGTAAAGGCACCCAGATAAGCCACGGTCCCCGAGGACACCAACACATCTCCTGTCAGATTAGTATAGCGGATTCCCAGCTGGTGGGCAGCTCCTGTCCATCTGTCCTTCTCTCCTCCAAGACCACTGATCAGCTTCTCTGCCCTGATCAGCTTTTGGGAGCAGATTTCAATGTTTTCCTCCAAGGTCTTCTTCTTCATGTTCATCTCTTCAAAGTCGTCGTTCAAGGCCTGGAGACGGTCTTCCACCAGCTTCAGCTCCGATCGCTTCTGGTTCAGCTTCTGCATCTGTACATTCAGTTTCCCCTCGGCCTCCCTCAGCCGCTCCCGCTTGGGAGCCACCACCTTGGCCACGCGATCGTACACCTCCATGGCCCTCACCCACTTGCACAGACCCTCGCAGGCAGAAGACACGTTTTTAATGACAGCTGGCTGGAATTCTGGGTGATCGATAAACCTTTCCCGGATCCTCTTCATGATCGGTGGGGGGATGTTGTCTTTGTCATATGTCTTAAGACTCTCTAAAAATTTCAGATCTCCGAGAATCTTTCTTGACACCCCCCAGTAATCTTCTATCATCTTACCTATTCAGTATAAGAAACAGGATAACAAGCTGTATTAAGACATTCTGGCTGAGATTTAAAATCTGCAGTAGCTACTGCTTGTATTCGGAAAAAAAATCTAAGCTTCTTGCCAGGGTCTGGGAGGCCCAGATGACCTCACCCATCTTATTTCTGCCTCGCTCCCCTGGACCTAGGTCACGAAGGACCCTCCTTCAAATCTGTCACTATCCCAAGTGCTTCCCTACCCTGAACCCTGGACCTGTGCTGTAAATGGCACCTAGCTGGCCATTAGACAGGCATCTAGGTTGGTCACTGACCAGACTTCAGGCTCCTCTGTGTCCCCCCTAGCATTTTCTTTTATCTCGCCTGATAGAAGGTCCATTTCCTTTATAGGATTTACTGTAATCTGTAATTTTTGCTTACTTTCAACTGTCTACCTCTCCCTCAAAGGTGTAAGCTCCTGCTGTGTTCACTAGAACCTGGCATAGTGCCCCACACACAGTTACCAACAAATGCGGATTATCCCACTCATACGTGGGGAGGGCAACAGAAGCCACAGCCATGGGCACGTGTTTGGAATATTGTTTTCCAAGTCTGGGAGGTAGGTTGGACGGAGCCCAGTCAGTCCTTCTTGTGAGGACCGGTGTGAGTGAGTGAGGGGGTGGTATTGAGAGGAAGAGTGAGAGTTGGGGGAGACCTGTGGCCTGCCCAGAAATGTAGCCAGGCCCCTGTTCTCAGCACCCATCGTGCTGTGCTGATGACTGATCGAGTCCCAATCCCATCCCTGGACAATCCTCCTTTTGCAGATGAGTTGGAAAAAATTGGGGACACTTTTTGGCTCACGGTAATTGCCAAACTCAGGCTAGTCAAAAAAGTTATACTTTGAGACATCATACTGGGTACCACCAATCAAATGTATCCCATTCCTAACTGTGAGCACAGCAACCTGCCGAACACTTCCCATGAAAGATCTCGAGTCCCAATCCCATCCCTGGACAATCCTCCTTTTGCAGATGAGTTGGAAAAAATTTGGGACACTTTTTGGCTCACGGTAATTGCCAAACTCAGGCTAGTCAAAAAAGTTATACTTTGAGACATCATACTGGGTACCACCAGTCAAATGTATCCCATTCCTAACTGTGAGCACAGCAACCTGCCGAACACTTCCCATGAAAGATTTTGTGCCTTCTGGAAAACGATCTGCTTCATTTAAATTCAATGGCTTTTTTGCTCCATCCCAATATACGCACTAAATTCTATGGGTTGGGTGAATAATATGCACACTTTAATTTTAATTTACTGATGGGTTCTGTGCTGATCATCAGTGATCCAAGATGAGAACTGACATTCTCGAGCTGACCATGTTTTGTGTGTCTCTGCAGATCCCAAACCTGGCTGCCCCTGGGAATCACCCGGGAAGCTTTAAAAAATACCAGTGTGCAGGCTGCACCCCAGACCAATGGAAGAAAATCTCTAGGAGGGAGGCATGGGCCTCAGCGTTCTTTAAGCTCCCCAGGTAATTCTAGGACACAGCCGGGCTGCAGAAGCACTGGCTAGCTCTTCCTTGCTCAGGACAACTTACTACACCCCAGCTGCTTCCCTAAAGGATTCTCTTGTAAAGTCCACTCCCTGCTTGGCCATTTCTGATTACCTTTGTGTCTTCTTCATGTGGTATTTGCCCTAAAACTCAACAGAGAAGAGGGAATGTGAAGCAACAAAAAGCAGGAGCCAGAGGGTCCCAAATGAGGGATCAGGGATTTCTAACATCTCTGAAGGAATGAAGGAATAGCAGCATTGTTCCCAGGATGCAAGGGCTTGAAAGGCAGGAAATGGCACTGGAGTTGGTTTCAAAAGTCCTTGTTCAGTTCTGAGGCACTGGTCTTAATACAAGGTCCTACATCTAATTTGGATTTTAAGGAGAATGAATATTAACCGATAAATGCTTCCAGGCTCAGTTGTACAACGAGCTTTCCTTTCCTTCTCTGCTATTCCTTTCTCCCCATTTCTAAATCTCTGTGTCCTTCTCACTTTCTCCCTCTCTCTGTCTCTCTGTTCACTTTTCTTACCACTCTCTCTGTTTCTGTGTCTCTCTGTGTCTCTGTGACTCCACATGTGTGTCTCTGCATCTCTGTGTCTCTCGGGGTCTCCCTGTCTCCATCTCTCCCTCTCTTACCTTTTCATCCCTCAGTCTCTTTCTCTCTCTCTTTGTTTCTTTGCTGCTGGACAGTACAGGGATCGAACCCTGGATGTTGATTTTATCAGCACCATGCTCTGGCCAGCTAAGCTCACTGGCCAGCCCTCACTTTGTCTTTCTCTGGCTGTCTCTTTCCGCTCTCTCTCCCCTGCTCTCATTCTCTCTGTCACTCACACACGACTGTGTGTATTTGTTCCACACCAGGCCTTTAGTCTGCGTGACCTTCATTTTGGTAATGGTTTGCACCTGCGCTAAGCGTCTTCGCTAAGCTCAGCTTCACCTACAGATACCGGCTGATGGAGAGCAAAGAGGCTGGTGAAGTTCAAGAGACTGCTTGGTGCATGCGCACATCCTGCATCTTTCTTAATTCTTCCAGCCTCCACCATCCTGCCCACAGGCCTGGGGCGGGGCTAGGCTGGGGCGCTGCCCCCTTCCTGTCAGCAGAGAGCAGCCCATGCAGGCTCAGGGTGGGGTGGGGGTTACCGGAGCCACTAGGGTCGGGCTTCCTCTCTGGCTTCAGCCCTTTCATGACACAGATGCTCTCCATGACCAGCTTGACAGGGCCTGGTGGGTTCTGCATCGCCTTCACCAGTGAGATGTCGCTGGGGTTCAGGGTGTCCAGCGCAGCGAGCGCCGCCTCAAGCGCCGGCATCGCCTCGGCCAGGTCCCCCTCACACTCGTTCTGCAGAGACAGAAGGGCTGAGTGCCTGGTGCCTGGCATGCTGTGGCGAGACCGAGCTCCGCTCCTGGGTGAAGCAGAGGGAGCGGGAAGTGGTGCCTCCTGCCCAGATGCCATTTAAGGACAGTAACTCCTCCTGGAGCTTTGTACTCGAGGGTGGCCGTGACCCTTGACTGGCAACAGGAATGCAGGCGTGACCTTTGGGGGCTGTGGTTTGGATGTCCTGGACATTTGAGTGTTCACCTTGTTTGTGATCATAAAAAATTAAGCTTTTGTTTTTTAACAAATTCCCAAGAGATCAATGAAGTGAGCGACTTCACACCCATTGATCAGGGATGGGTTGAGGGATGGGGTAGAGGATGAGGCTTAAGGGTCGAGTGACGGATGGGAAGGGGGTAAGGGCAAGTTTAGAGAAGAAATGAGGCATGCGGGGTGGGAGAAGGTCGGGATAGGGTGAGAGTCCTGAGTGTCTTGTACACCCTCAGAGACAAGGCTGGGGTGAAGCTCAGGAACAGGGGAGAGTTTAAGGCAATATAAGGATGAGTAATAGGCATAGAGAGCAGAGCAGGGTAAGGAGTCAGAGATAGGAGAGAACTCAGGGAAAATGAGACGGTGTGTGTTTTATCCATGATTTGTTAATTTAAACAGAAAATTAATACAATAGAATATTATTCATCCATGTAAAGGAAAGAAGTACTGAGACCTGCTACAACCTGGATGAACGTTGAAATCATTGTAAGTGAAAGAAGCCAGACACAAAAGGCTACCTGTTATATGATTCCATTTACATGAAATGTGCAGAACAGGCAAATCCAAAGAGGCAGAAAGCAGGTTAGTGGTTGCCAGGTGCTGGGGGAGGGAGAGTGATTGCTAATGGGTGTGGGTTTCTTTCTGGGGTGATGAAAATATTCTAGAAGTAGGCAGTGGTGATGGTTGCATAACTTTGTGAATAGACAAAACCACCAAATTGCACAATCGAAAAGGGTGAATATTAAAGCTATGTGAATTACATCTAAAGAAAGCTTAACATCATAGGATTTTAGGACTGGGATGGACCTTACAGATTAGTTAGCAACTCATTTACCAAGTTCCACACACACACGCAAATGTCCCAAGAGGTAAAATGAGTTAGCTGAGTTCATACAGCTGGTTACAATCCTCTGTTAGTCCCGCAAGTTCAAGGAGTGATCACATAGCCATGATGGAAGTGGAACTTCACAAGAGAGCATCGATTCCTAGACTGCCTGAAGCACCATGCATTGAAGTCTTTGTATCCCACAGGTTTATTGTGACAGGCAGACAAAACAAAGGTTGTCGTACTTTTGTTTTGGGGGGGAAAAAAAGCCATGATAGAAATTACAATTACACTGTGATGGCAATGACATAAATCTATCCATGTGTGTGGATAGGGACTGGGAGGAAACTACTAATTAAAAGTGAAAATTGAAAAGGTGTCAAAATCAAGTTTTAAAAAAATTTTCATATGCATCATAACCACATTTGTTTTTATGATGAAAACATAATTAACTATAGCCCCTGTGTCTTAGCAATGCAAGGAGTAGCAGGACTGCTTGAGAGGCATGGAGCATGGGGCACTCCGATGAAATGTATTCAGACTTCCAGTAATTCTGCGCTATCTACTGTCCTCATTAGGGGGAAAATAAATGATTCATTAGCTTGAAAAGAATTGACCAACATAAGCGAACTGTTGTACTTGTGAATCAAGTGTTTGAGACCTGGCTCTTTCTCTTGCAGTATGGCTCCATCTGCACTGCTGAGCCCCTGCTATGCATCAGGCACCGTACTGGGTGTTCTCCCATGTTATGTCATTTCTAGAGGAGCAAAGAGATTAGGGAAAATCAGCAGTCCTCTGGAAGGTTCAGGAAGGGATCCCGGTCCACACAAAAGCCTCAGGGCAACTGCAGAGCAAACACAGGTTTCTTCTCCTGTCTGGACAGTGTCCTCCACCTCCTGACTCACCTCCAAAGTGTCACTCCCAGGATTGGGGATGGGATGGCAGAGCATTAAACCTCACCCTTTGCACCGAAACCCGAGGTGGCAGTTTATTGCCTGGGAATGGGTGTGGTGGGAAGTCCTGGGTCATCTCCTCATAAACCTCATGCCATTGCTCACCTCCCTTCTGCTCTAGCAAGTGGCTGTTTCCCCTGACATTCCAGAGCCGAGTCCTGGGTGTGATGTTCCTCTCCCTCATGGTCCCCACACAGTGAAAGGCTCACCTTGGTCACACAGGCAAGTCCCCTTGGTGTAGTTCAAAGAACAATGTTTTGGAGAGGAGCTAACATTATGCTCTGACACATGCTACAAACTTGACAAGATCTTCTCTTTGTACTCCCACTTCATGCTCGTAGATGAGGAAACTGAGGCTAGGAAGGGGCAGAGCAAAAATTGAGCCTGGACATGCCTGATTCTAGTGTAGAACCATGAAAGAGTTGCAAATTCATATGCCTTCAGGGGCAGCATCTATCCGACACCGCTGATGTGTGCAAACCATGAATGCAGGTCCAATGTCACCAGAATCCCTGATTTATTTTTTTTTAAGAAAAGCTGAAAATTCAGAACTTTTACTTAAAATCCCCTGAGTTGATAACTATTTCTGATTCATAAAATGTACTGGCTACCAGTTTGCAACTTCTGGAACAACAGTCAAATGCGAGGGCTTTGGAGTCAAAGAGCTCTGGGTTTGAGTCAGATTCTATCACCTGATAGCTGTGTGACCTTGGACAAGTCATTTGAGTTCTTGTACCAGGATTTCCTCATCCGTAAACTGGTGATAATACCATTTGCCTTGTACAGCTATGAGGATAATAAAAGTTAGTGCAGATCAAATAGAAGAGAATACAATCTCCATGAGAAGAGAATACAATCTCCATGAGAGAAAGGATTTTGTTGGTCTCGTTTGTTTGTATTTCCCCACTGCCTGGAAAAGTGCCAACATGTAGTACGTGTTCAATACATACTCTTTAGATGAAGGAATACCAGAGAAATCACCATGGTGCTGGTAGCTATTTTTAGCATCTTGTCTTAGAATGGCAAATCACCTGCTAGATCATGGTTCTTGGTGCCTGGTGGTCACTGTCTTTGATGGTTTCCATTTGGCTCCTGTGTGTGCCATTGGAACTATGAGCGAACAAACCTCCATAATCTAGAGTATTCAGTGTGTGACTCTGAGATCAGGGATCAGGCCCTAAGGAAATCTATCACAGACCAGGTTTCAGGACTCATGAGAGAAAAGACAGTCTGGAAGGCCTGTTTCAAGAAAATATCCCAAATCTATTTGTGATAGAAGCCAGATATAGGCTGCTTCTTGCTCAAACCCTTGTTTGAGGATTAGTCAAAAGAATTTTCTAATTACTAAGTGGGGGTATAAGGCCATGTATCTTAAGCTAAGTGCTGTGAACCTTGGATTCTAATCCTACTAACTAGCTCTCAAAAGTCATTTTACCACTGAACCTCAATGTCATCAGCCCTCAGATTTTGATACCTGTCATTCCTAAGTCTCAAGGTAGTTGTAACACTTAAATGGAATTGTGTACTCCACAGTGCTTTGGAAAATATATAACATCACATCAATGTTAGGCAGATTTTCTTCTAATATCTGGATGTAAGTCAAGCCCTTCCCAGGACTATTTCTTCTTTGGTACAAGAATCACCTTCAACTGGAGTCCTCTAGGTTCAACATTCTGTCATTTGAGAAATATTTGTTCTACACTTACAACACACCAGGCACAACTGAGCAAAAATGTGATGGAGGTGAAGGAGATAGCCATGTGGGTGTTAAAGAAAGAGATTCTGGGCAGAGAGAGCAGCCAGTGCAAAGGCCCTGGGGTGTGTGAGAGCATACCTTGTGTTTATTTAAGGAATAGCCACAGCAGAGTGAGTGAGGGGAAAGTAGTAAGAGATGAGGTCAGATCACGTTGGTCTTATGAGTCAGATGGAGAATACCTGGAAAACAATAGCGCTTCCTGGAGAGAGCCAGGCATCTGAAGGACTCACTTCATCACTTACTAGCTACGTGATGATGGGAAAGTCACCTGCTCTTTCTGAGCCTCCTTTCTCATCTGCAAGATGGGCATGACTACGTCCACTCTGCGAGACTAGTTCCCTCCCTTTCCTCTCAGATCTTCATACCTTGATTGCTTGAGAAATGGCAGCAGCAGCATTGGCTTCTTTCTCATCTGCCTGCACCAGAAGTTTCTTGGCATCAGCTTCTTTTGTCTCCTCTTCAATTTTCACCATCATCTTGGCAGTCTCCTCGGAGGTGAGGATGAGTTGAGGTTGGAGGGCAGTCAGTTCTACTTGCATAACTGCCACCTAACAAGGAGACAGCAGTGGGAGGAATCCAGGGTCAGCTGAGTCAATGCCGAAAATGGCAAAGTGGGCAGGGATTGAAATGATTCTCCATCCCACAACATGTGCAGGAAACATGTACTAATGATTTTGACATGGCCTTGGCTGTGTGTTTACTGGCTGGTGTTTCTCTCTTTCAGCTTTCTGCACTTCGTTATTGAGTTCATGCTATGTGCTGCAATTATCAAGCATCGTGCTAGGCACTAGACATACACAGGTAAACTAAAATTTGAAAAATAGGCAGGTTCTTTCCTCATTGAGCAACCCCTGCTGGAGGCAGGGAGAGATAGACCAAATGCAAGTTAAGAAGTTTCTAGAAATAGTTACATTCTTTGAGGCTGTGAAGGAAACATACACAGCTTAGATACCTGAGATAGAAGGAACTTTCAAGGCTATTTTTTCTAACAGTGCTGTGGACTGAATGTTTGTGTCCCCCCAAAATGTATAGGTTGAAGCCTAATTCCCAATTCAATTATATTTAGAAGTGGAGCCTTTGGAGGTAATTAGGATTAGATGAGGTCATGAGGTTGGGGACCCATGATGGGATAAATGACCCTATAAAAAGAGGAAGAGACATGAGATCTGTCTCTTTCCACCATATGAGGACACAGCAAGAAGGGGGCTATCTGCAAACCAGGAAGAGAGCCCCCACCAGACACTGGAGCTGCTGGTGCCTTGATCTTGGAATTCCAGACTCCAGAACTGTGAGAAGTAAAGGTTTGTTGTTGAAGCCACCTAGACTATGGTATCTCATTATAGCAGCTCGGGCTGACTAAGACAAACAGTCTGATGTCTCCTAATGCATTCCTGATGAGTGTTTTCCAGTCTCTGTTTGAATAGACAGAGAGCTCACCACTTCTCAGGTGAGTTACACCATTTTTCAGATAACTAAACCCATTAGATTTTCCTGATGAAGAGCTGGAATTTACCCCCATGCAGTTTTCACCCACTGGTCCTGATTCTGCCTTCTAAGGCAGCTCAGACATACAGGATTGGATTTCAAGAATTTGGAGAGGACTTTCACGACCTTGCACCTACTGTTCCAGCATGCCCATATGACAGAGTATACTATACTGGCCTGGCTGAAAACAAGGCTCTGGAGTTATGCACATCTGAGCTTCAGTTTTGGCCCAACTGCTTGCCAGGCTATGTGGCCACAGGCGAGTCACATGGCCTCTCCGTGTCTTGGTTTCTGTGTGTAACATGGAGATGGCAACACTCTTTTATACTATACTGGCCTGGCTGAAAACAAGGCTCTGGAGTTATGCACATCTGAGCTTCAGTTTTGGCCCAACTGCTTGCCAGGCTATGTGGCCACAGGAGAGTCACATGGCCTCTCCGTGTCTTGGTTTCTGTGTGTAACATGGAGATGGCAACACTCTTTTCCTCACACACAGCACCAGGCATGCGGCAGGGCTCAAGGAATGTTAACTGGCACCACTATTCTCTTTTCTGATCTAGACTGTCTCGGGTCCTTTTGCTGCTCTTCAAACAACACGGTTTGCTCACCCTTATGTGGACAGACTTGAGTTTTCATCACCTCTCTAAAAGCCAAGTACCCTGAGTTGGACCCAGCACCCCCATGAACAGAGTAATGAAGGCCACCTGTGACGTTCTCTCCCACCCCCATGTTGCAGTATTCATATTCCTGTTCACGATAACGGGTCAACTTCTGCAAATCAATCAATTTCCTCAGTGCTTTATTGGTGCTGAAAATCCACCTCTTAATATAGCTCTCAGTTTAGATAGTCTGTCAAGAAGCTCCAAGCACAAATCAATTAATAACTCATATGCCAGCCACTTTGCTAAGGCCCATCCTTATGCCAGCTCATTTAATCTTTATAGCAGCTCTATGTAGTAAAAACTGTTATTATCACTTTTTATAGAGGAGGAATATGAGGCCCAAAGTGGTGAAATAATGACACATTCATGGCTGTACAGCTGGTAAGTTGTAGAGCTGGAATTTGAGCCCAAGTCTGTCCCCATAAAGCCCTGCTCTTAACCACTGTCTTATTCCACCTAGTTCCTCACAAAGGTCAGGGGCGTGAGGCACTCGCCCTGGGCACAAAATTTAAGGGGACATCAAAATACTCAGTCCTTAAGATAATTATTTATTGCAATATTTTAAGAATCAAAAATTAATGCCACAAATTCATAATAAACAAAATATCAAAATCTTAAGTAAAGACAGGATCCCACAGGGCAGGGATTAGGGTAACGCCAGTGAGGCGAGCCCTGCAAATGCAGGCCATATCCTGTCTTCATGTGGTTTCCTCCCAAATTCTGCACCTGAATGAGTGCCCCACCTCATCTGCCTCATCCTGGGTCTCTTCATCCCCATTCTATTTTGGCAGTGCTCACCTGTGAAGCTGCAAAATCAAGTTTCTGCAAGCCTGTCAGGTAGCGATTCCTCATCATATCCACCTCTTGCCTCTTGCTATTCAGGAGCGTCTTGAAGGTTAGAATCAATTCCAGGTAGGAGGTGGGGGTAACATAGTTGTGTCTGCGAAGCGTGTTGTAATAATCAACTGACAGTTTCTTCACGCTCTCCTGAAAATATTTGCACATGGAAACGACCCTGCCGAGGGCATGAAGGCAGTTAGGCAGGACCCCAGCTTCCTCCAGGAAGATCTAGCACAACTTTGGTTACAAATGTGAGGGCGTGAGAAGGCACGTACTGACTATGATCCACTACAATCCAAAATTCTCTGAAGACAAGTCAATAGAGCCAAGGTCGAGAAAGATGAGGGAGGTGTATAATCTTACTGGAAAGATCTATGATCAAATAATTTCTATCTCCGATCTGTTTGATGATTTACCAGAGCTTAAGCAAGAGTTCCTAGCCTTGGCAGTCTGGAGAAGCCTCCTGACTTCCCAAAACAATGTCTTAAAATGCATAAAATAAAATACATAGGATTACCAAGAAAACCAATTATACTGAAATAGACTTTGCAAAATATTTTTAATAGATGTGGTTCCTTATTGCTGCATTGAATCAGGGGTCAACAAACTTTTTCTGGAAAGGGTCACATAATAAATATGTGGTCTTTGTGGGCCACATGGTGTCTGTTGTAACTACTTAACTCTTCTGTAGTAATGCAAAACCAGCCATAGACAGTATGTAAACAAATGGGCATGGCTGTGTTCCGATAAAACTTTATTCACAAAAACAGTCTGTAAATTGGACTTGGTTTATGGACCACAGTTTGCCAACTTCTGCTTTAAATAATAAGATTGGGCAGCAGGTTGAAAAACCACCCTAATTCTGAAGGAAATGATATATTGAAGTATCTGTAACGGCTGAATGAGTTATGAAAATAACTCTGATTCTTACTGGTAACAGTCCCAGGCCCTGCTAATTCTACTGCTGCATATTGCCTACATTTATCATTGAAAGAAATGCAAAATACCAGTTGGATATCAGTGGAAATGAAGATGTGATTTTTCCTCATTCATATTCACTGTCCCACTGAATTCTATCCATGAGCCTGTGGACCCAGGT